ATTTCGGGGTTCGAACACTCGAACACCTATGGATTCTGCTGCACAGTGGCAGACATGTAAATACGGGGTTTCCATACCATTTCTTGCGCATTAGGGTTCGAACACTCGAACACCTATACGGATTCTCCTGCTTTCTCACGCATTAGGGTTTGAACACTGGAACACCTATACGAATTCTCCTGCACAGTGGCAGATATGTAAATACGGCGTTTAGTTACCATTTCTCATGAATTAGGGTTCGAACACTCGAACACCTATACGGATTCTCCTGCACAGTGGTAGATATGTAAATACAGCGTTTACTTACCATTTCTCACGCATTAGGGTTCAAACACTCGAACACCTATACAGATTCTCCGGCACAGTGATAGATATGTAAATACGCCGTTTACTTACCATTTCTCACGCATTAGGGTTCGAACACTCGAACACCTATACGGATTCTCCTGCACAGTGGCAGATATGTAAATACAGCGTTTACTTACCATTTCTCGTGCATTAGGGTTCGAACAGTCGAACACCTATACGGATTATCCTGCACAATGGCAGATATGTAAATACGGGGTTTGCATACCATTTCTCACGCATTAGGGTTCGAACACGTGAACACATAGACGGATTCTTCTGCACAGTGGCAGATATGTAAATACGGCGTTTACTTACCATTTCTCACGCATTAGGGTTCGAACACTCGAACACCTAGACGGATTCTCCTGCACAGTGGCAGATATGTAAATACAGCGTTTACTTACCATTTCTCACGCATTAGGGTTCGAACACTCGAACACCTATACGGATTCTCATGCACAGAGACAGATATGTAAATGCACCGTTTACTTACCATTTCTCACGCATTAGGGTTCGAACACTCGAACACCTATGCGGATTCTCCCGGACAGTGACAGATATGTAAATACGGCGTTTTTTCTTTACCATTTCACACGCATTAGGGATCGAACACTCGAACACCTAGACGGATTCTCCTGCACAGTGGCAGATATGTAAATACAGCGTTGACTTACCATTTCTCACGCATTAGGGTTCAAACACTCGAACACCTATACGGATTCTCTTGCACAGTGATAGATATGTAAATGCACCGTTTACTTACCATTTCTCACGCATTAGGGTTCGAACACTCGAACACCTATGCGGATTCTCCCGGACAGTGACAGATATGTAAATACAGTGTTTACTTACCATTTCTCACGCATTAGGGTTTGAACACTCGAACACCTATACGGATTCTCCTGCACAGTGGCAGACTTGTAAATACGGCGTTTACATACCATTTCTCACGCGTAAATACGGCGTTTACTTACCATTTCTCGCGCGTTACGTTTCGAACACTCGAACACGTATACGGATTCTCCTGCACAGTGGCAGATATGTAAATACGGAGTTTACTTACAATTTCTCGCGTGTTACGGTTCGAACACTCGAACACCTATACGGATTCTCCTGCACAGTGGCAGATATGTAAATACAGCGTTTACTTACCATTTCTCACGCATTAGGGTTCGAACACCTGCACAGTGGCATATATGTAAATACGGCGTTTACTTACCATTTCTCGCGCGTTACGGTTCGAACACTCGAACACCTATACGGATTCTCTTGCACAGTGGCAGATATGTAAATACGGCGTTTACTTACCATTTCTCGTGCGTTATGGTTCGAACACTCGAACACCTATACGGATTCTCCTGCACCGTGGCAGATATGTAAATATGGCGTTTACTTACCATTTCTCACGCATTACGGTTCGAACACTCGAACACCTATGCGGATTCTGCTGCACAGTGGCAGATATGTAAATACGGCGTTTACTTACCATTTCTCGTGCATTAGGGTTCGAACAGACGAACACCTATACGGATTCTCCTGCACAGTGGCAGATGTGTAAATACGGGATTTGCATAACATTTCTCATGCATTAGGGTTCGAACGATCGAACACCTATACGGATTCTCCTGCACAGTGGCAGATATGTAAATACGGCGTTTACTAACCATTTCTCAAGCATTAGGGTTCGAACACTCGAACACCCATACGGATTCTCCTGCACAGTGACAGATATGTAAATGCGGCGTTTACTTACCATTTCTCACGCATCAGGGTTCGAACACTCGAACACCTATACGGATTCTCCTGCACAGTGGCAGATTTGTAAATACGGCGTTTACATACCATTTCTTACGCATTACGGTTCGAACAGTCGAACACCTATGCAGATTCTACTGCATAGTGGCAGATATGTAAATACGGCGTTTACTTACCATTTCTCGTGCATTGGGGTTCGAATAGTCGAACACCTATACAGATTCTCCTGCACAGTGGTAGATCTGTAAATACAGCGTTTACTTACCATTTCTCACGCATTTGGGTTCGAACACTCGAACTCCTATACGGATTCTCCTGCACAATGACAGATATGTAAATGCGGCATTTACTTACCATTTATCACGCATTAGGGTTCGAACACTCGAACACCTATGCGGATTCTGCTGCACAATGGCGGACATGTAAATACGGCGTTTACTTACCATTTCTCATGCATTAGGGTTCGAACACTCGGACACCTATACGGATTCTCCTGCATTGTGGCAGATATGTAAATACAGCGTTTACTTACCATTTCTCACGCATTACAGTTCGAACACTCGAACAACTATATGGATTCTCCTGCACAGTGGTAGATATGTAAATACGACGTTTACACACCATTTCGGATGCATTACGGTTTGAACACTCGAACACCTATACGGATTCTCCTGCACGGTGGCAGATAAGTAAATACGGCGTTTACATACCATTTCTCACGCATTAGGGTTCGAGCACTCGAACACCTATGCGGATTCTCCTGCACAGTGCCAGATATGTAAATACGGCGTTTACTTACCATTTCTCGTGCATTAGGGTTCGAACGCTTGAACACCTATACAGATTCTCCTGCACAGTCGCTGATATTTAAATACGGCGTTTACTTACCATTTCTCGTGCATCAGAGTTCGAACACTCGAACACCTATACGGATTCTCCTGCACAGTAGCAGATTTGTAAATATGGCGTTTACAAACCATTTCTCACGCATTAGGGTTCGAACACTCGAACACCTAGACGGATTCTCCTGCACAGTGGCAGATATGTAAATACCTCGTTTACTTACGATTTCTCATGCATTAGGGTTCGAACACTCGAACACCTAGACGGATTCTCCTGCACAGTGGCAGATATGTAAATACAGCGTTTACTTACCATTTCTCATGCATTAGGGTTCGAACACTCGAACACAAA